TTACTTTTTAAGCAAATGCATCTAAGTTAAAAATGAGTTTATTCAAAGAAAAAACATGCAGTAAGGAACTCTCTGTGCTTGAATAGATTCCCCCATTTACTAGCTGAGTGACATTGGATAAGACACTTGGTACCTCTAAGCCTCAGTTTCCTCATCAGTATAATGAGGGTGGTATTTTTTCCCACCTCAGGGATTTTTTAAAATTAATAATAGGATTAAATGAGATAATGAATGTTAGAAGCTTAGCACCCTAGCACATAGTTAAATACTCAACACTTTTTTTTTTTTTTTTTTTGAGATAGAGTCTTGCTCTGTCGCCCAGGCTGGAGTGCAGTGGTGCGATCTTGGCTCACTGCAATCTCTGTCTCCTGGGTTCAAGCAATTCTCCTGCCTCAGCCTCCCAAGTAGCTGGGATTACAGGCATGCACTTCCATGCCCAGATAATTTTTTAATCTTTAGAAGAGATGGGGGTTTCACCATGTTGACCAGGCTGGTCTCAAACTCCTAACCTCAGGTGATCCACCTGTCTCGACCTCCCAAGGTGCTGGGATTACAGGTGTGAGCCATTATACCCGGCCACTCAACACTATCTTTAACAATATTATCACAATATTAAAAATATTAGTATTGTTCATCTTTTGTCATACCTCCTGGCTGCTTGGAGCAGAGAAAGTCAGTGGGACTCTAGGGTAGCTAGATAGAGATCCTGCATCCTAGTGCTTCTGCCCCTACACCAGTGGTTCTCAGCCAGGGATAATCCCTTCACTGGGGACTCTTTTTTTTTTTTTTGAGACTATGTCTCTCTGTTGCCCAGGCTGTAGTGCAGTTGTGCAGTCTTGGCTCACTGCAGCTTCAATCTTCTAGCTCAAGCAATCCTCCCACCTCAGCCTCCTGAGGACCTGGGACTACAGGTGCATGCCACCATGCCCAGCTAATTTTTCTAGATGTGGGTTTTCAACATGTTGCTCCAGGATGGTCTTAAACTCTCGGCCTCAAGTGATTCTCCCACCTTGACCTCCCAACGTGCTGGGACTACTAGTGTGAGCCACCCATGCTCAACTGACAGTTTTTAATCGTTATGACTGGGGTTGGTGGTGGCCCTGGCATCTGGTGCGTAGAGGCCAGGGATGATATTAAGCATCGCACAATGCACTGGTTGGCCCCTACTATGAAGAATTGTCTAGCTTGAATGTCAAAAGCATTAAGGTTGAGAAACCTTGTGCCATCCTGTGCCTGTGTATGTGCCTAGCAGCAGCTGGCTCTTCAGCCAGCTCATTATTTCCAAAAGAGACTTGAGCTTGGAATCCATAGGCCTCAGCCTCAGTTTCCTCATCCAGTAAATGGGAATGCTGAAGACTGCCTTATCAGCAGTCATTCCATCTTCTGATGGTTGGCTCTGCTGGGCACTTCCCTGGCCTAGGCTATCTCTACTGGTCCCTTCCTATCTTTTTCCCAGGTGTGAGGAAACCCATCTAATTGGCTTTTCTTCATTTGTTTGACTTCTGATATTTCCCATTCTGAGAGTGGCCTCTGGGGCCCCACAGCCACCATCTGAAACCATGCAGGCTGTGCGCCCCAGCCATCTCTGACTACTCCTGGTATTGTGGGTGGGAGCTGCTGGTCTTTTTCCTTTGAAGCACGCCTGGACATGTGAAACTCTTCTATTCGTGTGTTGATTTGTTGACTGTATTCCTCCCCACACGCCTCCGCCCTGAGGACAGACACTGAGCCTGCTGTCCCTGGCACACTGCACAGTGCCTGGCACATAGTGGGCATACAGGAATGTATTTGTGGGATCTATGAGGCGAGAGGCAAAAAGAGAGGATAAGGTGAGGGGACAGATTTAGAGAAGGGGGAAAAGAGAGAAAAGGAATAGAGAGGAGGAGGGAGTTGAATGAAAGTTAAATGCTGAGAGATCTAAGTATGGGGGAAAGCAGGCAGGGCGGGGCGGGGGTCCAGACTGAGACTTGAGCACAAGGTGGACTTGCCAGAGAGAGGGAGGGGTACAAAGAAAGATGAAAAGGGTGGAGAAGAGAAAGGAATGGAGACACAGAACGAAATAGAGAGAGAGGCAGAGAGAACGTGCAGGCAGAAAGCAAAGGGAAGAAAACCTCCCCGAGGCCTCAGTGCTCAGGTTGCAGAGGGGAGGACCGCCTGCAGGAGCCGGCGTCGCGCTGCTGGGAGCGCCAGAATGCAGGCGTGGTTTCCATGGAGACAGGGATGCTCCCGGCGGGAGCCACAGACTCCAGTGGGACCCGCGCCTCTGGCATCTTGGGAGTGGACGGCCAGAGAGGGGACGAAGGGACGGTGTGGATTTGCCCCTCCTCGGGCTCTTTCCCATTCCTGCCTCTTGCTGGAGATTTAGAGTCCGGGAATAGGGAGGCAAGAGCACATCCGCCTGGGAAAGGGCCCTGGGGACTCCGAGGGTAGGGGAAGGACGGGCTGAGACCACTCCTCGCCCTGCCCCATTCCCTTCCTTGGCGTTTGACCCTCCTATCCTTTCACATAGGGTCCTGGAGGGTCTGGCAAAGTGCAGGGCTATGTGGGGAGATGGATGGCCAAACCTTCTCTGCAGGCCCCTCCTCCTCCTCCCGCCCTGTTAATGCTGGAGCACCATCGCTCAGTCCTAAGCCTTCTCTTCAATTTCCACCTTTTTCACTCCTGGGGATGTAAATACCTACAAGTGCCCACAGTTCCCAAATTTGCATGACCAGCCCTGGCTTTTCCCAGAGCTCTGGCCTGTTCAAAGTTGCTGATTCTTTAACTCACCCACCTTGTTCCCACCACAGGGCTTTGCTTTTACCATTCCCTTTGTCTGGAACTCTTTTCCCAGCCCTTAGGTGGTGAGGTCCGCTGGAGTGGAGAATTGTCTTGGAGGAGGAGCGTTGGTGGGGGGCGGAGCCCTGCTGCAGTGCCTGTGTGACCACAGTATTGTACGGGGAGCCTGCACCTGGAAGAAGGGCACGAGTTGGGGAGAAGGGGAGGACTGGCTGAATCTGACAGTGCCACGATGGGGAGGAGGGCCCACTCCATGGAAGCCAGAGGAGGCTGGGGCCTGGGAGCATTCCCTCCAGGGTAGATGTGGGAAGGATCTGGCACAGCCAAGGGCCCCCTCCCACCCTGGGGACTAGATGGGCCAGGTGGACACTGGGCAGAGCTGACCGCCACCCCCACTTTGCATTGCTGCCATCTAAAGCCCAGGCTAAGCACCCCATGGGCCTGGTGCAGGCTCGAGGTCCCCACAGTTCCAAACAGAGCCCAGTGGAACCTTTGGGTCTCAGACACAGTAACCCAAATCCTGGCAGGACTGACAGTACGAGGGCCCCATCAAACTGGTGACAGAGCTGGTGGAGAGGAAGAACCCCTGTCTCCACACTGGCCTGCCAAACCCGGGGGTTCTGACTGCCCTGTGATGCGGCACGTGCCGCTCTTCAAGCCAATCACTGTTACTAGAGGAACACACTGTGCTGATTAGCTCAGGCTTGGATCTCATCCTCGAGGCTAAGTGCTGACCAAGGGCCCACCTGGGCTGGGATTGGGACAGGTGGGTTGCTAAAGCCAAAGCAGGTGGATGCTAGCTGGGAAACCATTGCCCAAGCCCTTCTGAGCCTGCCCCCTCTCCTCTTCTTTGCCTTTTTCCTCCTCACCTGAAACCCACTCTCCACATTACTTTCTTAGGTAATTATTACTTTTGGCGTTATAACTGGTTTTGATAACAGCCAAGATTTACTCAGAACTTACTGTGCCAGGCACTTTACATTTTGCTGCCTTCTGTAATCTTTACAACCACTTGAGGATACCATTATTATTCCCATTGTACAGATGAGGAAACAGGCTTAAAGGTGAAGGAGTTTGATCAGTGTGGCACATCTAGAAAATAGCTGAGCCAGGATTTGAGACCCAGACTTCTTAATTGCTTTGCTATTACACACCGCTCCCCACACTACATTGCAAGCTCCACGCAGCTAAAATCCAAGTATCCTACCTCCTAGGCCTGGTGTAGTGCCTGGCATATAGTAGACCCGGGTAAATACTACCTGAGTGCCTGGCACTGTGCTAAGTTTCTTGCACAAATTACTTCATTTAATCCTCCTAATAGCTCTGTGAAGTAAGTACCATGGTATTGACTGAAACAGGCCTGTTCAAGTTCGGTGGCATCCCCCAAGGTCATACAGCCAAGTTAGGGGAAGAACTAGGCTAAGTCCTATCATTGGCACTCCGTGGTCTGTGCTCCTAGCAAAGTGCTCAATTGCATGAATGCTATGTATTCCAGCATCATGAATGAAAGGAAAACGGTGCCCAATAAACATTTGATGAGTGAATGACAAGAATTTAAAAAATGAAGAACAATGAGGGCAGGCATGGTGGCTCACACCTGTAATCCCAGCACTTTGGGAGGCTGAGGCGGGGAGATCACTTGAGGTTGGGAGTTTGAGACCAGCCTGGCCAACATGCTAAACTCCGTTTCTTCTAAAAATACAAAAATGAGCTGGGCATGGTGGGGGGCACCTGTAGTCCCAGCTACTCAGGAAGCTAAGGCCTCCTGAGTATTGCTCGAGCCCTGGAGGTGGAGGTTACAGTGAGCCGAGATCTCACCATTGCACTTCAGCCTGGGCGACAGAGAGAGACTCCATCTCAATAATTATACTGATGATGGGAGACGGAGTTGGTCCTGATGCTAGAGGAAGTTGAAGGAGGTGGCTGCGGATAGCTGTTTTCTCATATTCCCAGAAGGCTTCCTGGAGAATTTGATCTGATGGGGGAGCGCGAGGGCGTTTCGGGTTCCAGAAAGTTGCTGCTACCCATCCTAGACCTCTTTCTCTCTCCCTTTTCCCTGCCTCCACCCTCTCTCTTTCCCTCTCTGGAAGTGGGTAACAAGCATGTGGTTGGGTTGATGTTCCTGCAGTAATACCTGGCCCAGACTGCAGACACTAGGGAGTAATGATCTTCTTCTCTTCCTTCCTGACCGTGGTGGTGGGCCCGGTGCTCGTGCCCCTCAGCTCTGTGCCTCGTCCTGGGCTGCATGATCTTCCCTGACGGCTGGGACGCCGAGACCATCCGGGACATGTGTGGGGCCAAGACGGGGAAGTACTCCCTGGGGGACTGTTCGGTGCGCTGGGCGTACATCCTGGCCATCATCGGCATCCTCAACGCCCTCATCCTCTCCTTCCTCGCCTTCGTGCTGGGCAACCGGCAAACAGACCTGCTGCAGGAGGAGCTCAAGCCGGAGAACAAAGGCGAGTGTGCTGTGGGCTGGGGGACAGCGGAGGGAGCCAGGCCTGCTCCGGGGAGGTGGGACAACTTCAAATAAAAGGAGTAAGAGGGATGCATGAATCGGAAACCCGGGCTGGGCACGGTGGTTCATGCCTGTCATTCCAGCACACTTTGGGAAGCCAAGGCAGATGGATCACTTGAGCCCAGGAGTTTGAGAGCAGCCTGGCCAACATGGCGAAACCCCCTCCCTCCAAAAACACAAAAACCAGCTGGGCGTGGTGGTGAGTGCCTGTGGTCCCAGCTACCCAGCAGGCTGAGGTGAGAGGATCACCTGAGCCTGGGAAGTTGTGGCTGCAGTGAGCTGTGATTGTGCCACTGCACTCCATCCTGGATGATAGAGTGAGAGGCTATCTCAAAAAAAAAAAAAAAAAAAAAAAGAAGCAGAAGAAGAAGAAGCCTGACAGTACAGCCACCTTTTAAATTATTTGGCATTTTCGAGATCACGCCATTGCCCTCCAGCCTGGGTAACAAGAGCGAAACTCCGTCTCAAAAAAAAAAAAAAAAAAAAAATTATTTGGCATTTTTCCTCAGATCTGTTCATTTGCCTATGACCCAGCGAACCCTCCTCGGGTACAAACCCATGAGAAGTGTGCAGGGGTGCTGGTGGCCGCAACTTCACTATAACAAACAACCACAAACAACCTCATGGCCATGGACGGGAGGCGGGATAAAGACATGTGGCATGTTCCCATCACAGGGCAGCTCACAGCTGTGAAATATCGCACTTCAGTTATATGTACCACAGTGGATATATCTCAGCAATATAATATTAAGAGAGGGGGGAAAAAAACCAAGTTCCAGAAGATGACAGAGTGATATATTTATTGAGCTCGAAACTAAGCAAAACTAAGCAATATATTGTTTAAACACACATGTATTTGTGGCAATATTTTTTTAAAAAAGCAAAGAAATAATAAATATGAAAGATAAGACGACAGTCATTTGTGTTTATGATGGAAGGGGAGGAGGGCAAGTATATGAGATGGAGCATGGAGGTATATGCAAATTATGGGTAGAGTTATAGTTCTTTTTTTTTTTGTCCTTGAGATAGAGTCTTGCTCAGCTGACCAGGCTGGAGCGCAGTGGCACGGTCTGAGCTTACTGCAACCTCCACCTCCCAGGTTGCTAGAAATAGATGTTCAGTGCCACAAAGAAAAATCAGCACTGAGACAAAGAATTTTTCAGCAAAGCAATTTTTACTTCCTGGACTGCAGGAAGGGTACTCCAGTAGCCATCGTGCCACGAGAGTACAAAGAACAAAGGGAGGCACAAATTTATTTTTTACGCATTTGGGGTCGTCCTTACTGCTGTGTTTGATCTCTGTTGGCTGCAGCCAGACCTCACAATTTAAACTTTTCTAAACAAGTAGAAGCAGTGGAGAGCTAGGAAATGCCTGTGAGCACATTCAGCACATATATCTTGGTTAAAGTACAAGGACATAGAATGTGCTATATGCAGGGCCGGGCGCGGTGGCTCACGCCTGTAATCCCAGCACTTTGGGAGGCCGAGGCGGGTGGATCACAAGGTCAAGAGATCGAGACCATCCTGGTCAACATGGTGAAACCCCGTCTCTACTAAAAATACAAAAAATCAGCTGGGCATGGTGGCGCATGCCTGTAATCCCAGCTATTCAGGAGGCTGAGGCAGGAGAATTGCCTGAACCCAGGAGGCAGAGGTTGCGGTGAGCCGAGATTGCGTCATTGCACTCCAGCCTGGGTAACAAGAGCGAAACTCCGTCTCAAAAAAAAAATAAATAAATAAATAAAAAATAATGTGCTATATGCCTGTAAGCACAGCATGTCGAGAAGCTACATAGGATAGGGTTCAACACAGTTATTAGCACACTTATTCTTTAACAAGAAAGGTAACTTTAAAAAGGAACTTTTCTACTTCCCACACAGGTTCAAGTGATCCTTGTGCCTCAAACTCCTGAGTAGCTGGGATTACAGGCATGCACCACCACACCGGGCTAATTGTATTTTTAGTAGAGATGGTGTTTCACCATGTTGGCCAGGTTGGTCTCAAATTCCTGGCCTCAAGTGATCTGCTTGCCTCAGCCTCCCAAAATGTTGGGATTTACAAGCATGAGCCACCACACCTGGCTGAGGTATAGTTATTGAATGGTGAGCTCACCAGTGTTTATAAGAGATCAGGGTCATGGAGGGGGTCTCACTCTGTTGCTCAGGCTGGAGTACAGTGGTGCAATCATAGCTCACTATAGCCTCAAACTCCTGGACTTAAGCGACCCTCCTGCCTCAGCCTCCTGAGTGGCTGGGACTACAGGCACGCACCATCACGCCTGACTAATTTTTGTATTTTTTGTAGAGACGAGGTTTCCCCATGTTGCCCAGGCTGGTCTTGAACTCCTGGCTTCAAGCAATCCTTCTGCCTTGGCCTCCCACAGTGCTGAGATTACAGGTGTGAGCCACATTACCTGATACATTGTATGCTTTATAATTAGTGTATTGCATATAAATATTCATATATATCAAGTAGCATTAAAATACAATAAAGAAAAAGGGCCAGGTTTTGGAGAACTCCAGAGCTCCAATAACTTGCCCAAGATCACTTAAGTGGTGAAGACAGAATCTGAACCCAGGTCCAAGTCCAAAGCCCAAGCTCTTCCCCGCTGTCATGCTGCCTGTCTCAACCTGGTGAGGCCAGAGATTTCCTGCACGTCTTTGGGAGCTGTCCTGGCATGCCGATGTGCTCATCCGTAGTCAGAGGCAGGTTCTAAATACCTGATGCAGTCTCTCAGACCCCGGGTTTTCTGTGGACTTGGTGTGAAATCAAGGCCTGCCCTCTGGTGGCAGCTTCCAGAAGTGCAAGACTAAGACTGATCCGGCCTTTAAGAAGGGGTGTGGATGTGACTAGTGTGAGGTGGCCTGCGTCAGTGTCCCTCCCCTCCCTCCCCAAAGCCCTCTAACAACTCAGTGTTAAAAATTGATGTAAAGGAGCCCCAGTTTTCCTCCCTTGAGTGTCCAGGGAGTCTCCATCCCTCACTGGGAGTTCATGATGAGTGAGCCTCACACTTCAATTTTGACCCAAAGACCTCTGAGCCAACAGCCATGGCACGCACCTGTGGTCCCAGCTACCCGGCTGAGGCAGGAGGATCGTTTGAGCCCACGAATTCAAGACCAGCCTGGGTGATGTAACAAAACCCAGTTTCTATTAAAAAGAAAGAAATAAAAAAAAATTTAAAAAGACCTCTGGAACCCAAGAAAAAAATAAAATAAATTGCTTCAATTTCCAGCATATTCTATGTACCAAACACTGCCAAGTTCTTGGCTGACATTATTTGTCTCTTTTTGACCCTTCTGAATTACCCTGTGAGGTAGGCTATGATCCTCATTTTTCAGATGAGAAAATCAGGGCTCAGAGGGGTTAAATGGCTTGCTCAAGGCCATCCTGCTGGTCAGATGAGGCTGGGATTTCAGCACTTGTGCAATTTGTCCCCTCTGACCCTTTTCTTTCTTTTTTTTTTTTTTGAGATGGAGTTTTACTCTTGTTGCCCAGGCTGGACTGCAGTGCTGTGATCTTGGCTCACTGCAATCTCTGCCTCCTGGGTTCAAGTGATTGTCCTGCCTTAGCCTCCCAAGTAGCTGGAATCACAGGCATGCACCACTATACCTGGCTAATTTTTTGTATTTTTGGTAGAGACAGGGTTTCTCCATGTTGATCAGGCTGGTCTCGAACTCCTGACCTCAAGTGATCCACCCACCTCAGCCTCCCAAAGAGCTGGGATTACAGGTGTGAGCCCCCGCGCTCAGCCTCTCTGCCCACTTTTGCCCTGGGGAATATGCAAGGAAAGCGCAAATGCCCTGGCAACCTCTGACTCTCTCTAATTCTCTCTCCCTCTCTCTCTTTCTTAGATTTTGTGGGCTCTACAGTAAGCTCCGTGTTGCGGCCTGGGGGTGATGTCTCCGGATGGGGAGTCCTTCCCTGCCCTGTAGCTCACTCACAGGGACCCTGAAGGCCGGGATCACAGCCCAGGAATTGGCCTGACCTCAGCTTGTCCTGCCTCCTGCCCTCTCATCACTCCATTGAAGCTCCGAGGGAAGACCCTGATCTCAGACTCACTCCTCACCAACTACCCTGCGAGCCCCAGGCTTTGAGGAGAGGAGAGCCTGGATGCGGCCTGGGGGAGGGAAGAGGCCCTCCAGACCCTGGGAGGGTCTAATTCTTGCTCCTCCCTCAATTTGAGCTAAGGGAGTCTGCATCCACCCAATCCCTTGGGCTTCTCCTCTCCTCTCTAGACTGGCCTGGAGGTCCCTGCAGATCCCCAAGGAGAGCAGAGCAGTAGTTCCAGCTCCCCAGGCCCCCTCAGTCTGGAGGGCTGCCGCCTGGCTGTATCCACATCTCCTCTGGTCCCTGCCTCCTCAAAAAATTTATTCTAGATACTGCCCCAGGGTGGGCTGGACTCTTTCCTACTTTTTTTTTTTTTTTTTTTGCTGATGTTGGTTCTACCACATCTGCCACAAAGCTCCAGGTGCCACCAGTCTCCCCTGGGACCTCCTCTGCTCCATTCCAGCCTGCTCCCAGCTCACCCTGAGGGAGAGCTGCACCGAGGGACGGACGCACAGGGCCCTGCTGTCAGCTGCAGACTGGGGCCCTGATCAGCCCAGAGTCTGAGAAAGGACCTTCAGGCTCTGGAGGCAGCGGGAAGGGCCATGTGGCCTCGGCAGCTGGAGCTTAGAAGCTGCTCAGCCTGGACCGGCCTGGCCTCCTCTTCCTCTCTGCTGGGACATCTCACCAATGACTCAGCCCTTGACCTTGGCCTGTTTTGCCCAGGCCTCCTCTCTGCTGGGATGTCTCACCAATGACTGGACCCTTGACCCTGGCCTGTTTTGTACAGCACAGACTTCTTGGCCCTATTGTCAGGGTTGGGGGATGTGGAGGGGCCCCAGAGGTGGGGAATTAGGGGATGCATTACCCCTTCTGCCCCTTCTCATGCCCTCCACACCCCAGGCATCTACCAAGGGCAGAGACTGTCTTGTGTCTTTGATACTTTTCTGCATAACTTGAACTTGCAGGTCATCTCTGAACAGGGTACCCCTGTCCCCCCTCCCAGGCCTTGTTACCCTGTCCCAGCCTCTTCCTCCTCCTGGCCCACCTCTCGCCTTGCGGTATGCCCAGGTCTGCACCTATGGGCAGTGCTTGGAGCCGAGGCATGAGTGTATGTGTATGTGTGTGTGTGTGCGTGTGAGTGCGTGTGTGTGTTAGAGGGGCAGGTGAGAAGTTTCTCCCCCCTCCTCCCACTGTGGGGGCATCTTCCTCCCCCTTGGCAGGGAGCAGGTGAGGGAGGGTCCTGGTGTTTTTTGAACCCCTCATTCCCCTGGGAGTCTGGTGGCAGAGCCATCTCGCCCGGAATCCTCCCCACCCTGGGGCCTGGACAGCTCCCCTCAGCACTCCTTGCTGGTGTAGATCGGTTTGTCCAGCGCCCCCCGGTTGAACAGGACCTGGGAGGCTGAACAGGACCTGGGAGGCATTTGTCCTCGCAGCCTGGGAGGTACCCTGCAGGCTGCCGGGGATGCTGCCTCTGCGGGCTTTGGCAGAGGGGAGGGGACTGCTTGAGTGCCATGTGTTTGCCAACCTTGTGTTCATTTCCACAGGACTTGGACCGGAGAGTTAGGGTTTCTAAGAAAGAACCTAGAAGTCCCCTGCCAGTCTCCCCACTCTGGACCCTAGCCGGAATCAGATGCTGGGGCCTGGTGGGTTCCTGCCACTTGTAACTTACCAAGTCCTCATGCCACTCCTCCACTCACTCCTCCAGGGCAAATGCCTCCCCACAGTGCTCTGATCCCAGCGCTGGGCTCCTTGTCCCTGCCAGCGCCTTCCTGGGCAGGCAGCCTGGGGTAGGGGCGCTGCGAGACAGCAGGTCCCAGTTAAATGCGAGGGTGCTGGGAGCCCCGTGGGAGGGAGTGGAGGCAGGAGGGAGTTTCTCAAAGATGCAAACCAAAGCCCAGCACTGGAAGGGGAGAGCAGAGTTGGGAGTGAGTGAGGGGAGGGGTGGAGCAAGCGACTCGGAATGGGGGAAGACACTGGGCTGCGGAGAGGAGGGGTGCAGAGACAGGGTGATGAGAGATGAGTGGAGAAGGAGCGAGGGGGACGAAGGCACAGAGATAGCGTGAGGAGGAGAGATCGAGACAGGTGCAGAGACAGAGAGAGATGAGAGACCAGCTGAGAGGCTTCCTGAGAGCTTGGGGTGGGGGAGGGGAAATGGATGGAAAGGCAGAAAAAGGGCTCAGGAGGGGGAAGAGGCAAATGAAGAGGTGGGTTGGGGGCAAGAATGGGATGCAGGGGAAGCAGAGGGGGATGAAGGAGCCAGGATGCGGGGGTATGAGGAGGGGGGCTCTGTCTGGGCACTGGGTGAGGGGAGAGCTTCTTCCCCTGAGGACGCCTGCCAGCAGGTGTCCTGGCCATACCTTGTTCCCCAAGGACACCCACCAAACCTGTGCCCTGGTTGGGGCAGGTTTAGAAATGACCCCTCAGAGGCCGAGTCTGGAGTCCCAGGGCACAGGCAGCCAAAGCCCCACCCTTTGGGGGAAGACTGGAGTGGGGGAAACCACTTCAGAGGGCTGGGGGGGTTCCGGGTGACTTAGGAGTGGCCTAACAGGCGCATGGAGGAGGAGAGGGAGGCTAGTTTCCTGATGGGGCAGCCTGACAACGTTCCCACGCCACTGCGCCTGGCCAGCTGCCATTCTGGCAAAGCCAGGGGGTGAGGCACCAGGGAGTTTGGGGTCAGGAAGGCAGAGTTGTGTGGGCTGAAGTTTGCAAGAACCCTAAGGTGACACAGGCAAGGGGTAGAGGTCAGGGTGGGGACCAAACCATAGACCGGGGCCCTGGGTCCTGCAGAGGTGTGGACGGGGTGGGTGGCAGGTGCTCCAGCAGGGGCTCTCCTGGAGCAATGAAGACATCACGGGGAGGGGACTTTGTGGTTTGCCTCTGCTCTCATTGGGCGATCTGGCTTTAGACTTAAGGAGGAGTCAAGCAGAGGAGATCAGTGCCTGTTTCTCGCCCCAGGAGGGCCTTGTTGGGCTCTAACCTAGAGCCTTCTGGCTTTGGGTCCCAAGAGAAGTCCCCCTCTAACTGTGACCGGATCAGGGGTCTGCCTGCCTTTTTCTGCCTGATCTGAGGACTCAGGAGAGGCCACGGCAGCCACAACCTAGGGGTGTTTCAATCCCTGGCCCACTGCGCTGGTCAGTTGAGTCCTTCTGGGCACTGGGGCTATGAAAACTTTCGTCTTTGGGGACCGGTACCCATGGAGGAAAACTGCTTTCCTGAGGGGGTGAGGACCAAAGAATCAAGATCCTTTTCAGGCCTGCAATAGCCAAGATGATGAGAACTTTTAGATAAGGCTGTGGGGAGAGTCCCTGGCCTTTTGAACATCCTGTTTGGGCACAGGGGGAACAACCCTTCTCCAGCTTCCAGTGTGAACTGAGAACGGGAAGCCCTGTCTTTGGAGAAGCTGGGATCTTCCCAGCATGAGAAACTTCTGCAGGCCCCTGCCTGGCTCACGGCTAACCTTTGGGTAGGACTGGAGTTTCCTGAACAGGGAACAAGGGAGCCACAGTCCTTCCGCAGAGCTCTGACGGGCAGGCCTCTGGGGGCCTGTGCTGTGTGCTGTTAGGATAGCTTGGTGTTGTCTACACCCCATTAGTAAGTTTTGTCTGAGTGTGTCCTCGCTGTTCATTGTCTAATTTGGTAACATTTATTTTGGTCCTGACCCCTTCTGCTGCTGCTGGGTTTGAGCTTCAGTGCAGGTGGAATGACATGCAAATAAAGAAACACTTTCTATCACCCATGCTGGCTGTCGCTTCTCTGAGTCATTGGAATCAAGAGGGGTCAGATTCCAACCCCATGGATCATGTTTGGCTGGTATTAACAGAGCCCTACCACTGTGGCTGAACAAGAGTTTATTCTACCATCACATTAAAAAAAAAAAAAGAAAAACCCTGGAGGTGGGTAGATCACGACTGCTATGGCCCTCAGTGTTATCCAGAACCCAGGCTCCTGTCTTTCTGCACTGCCATTTTCAATTCTGGCTACATCCTCAAGAACACCTCATGGCCCAACATGGCTGCTGCAGCTCTGGTGACTTGGTCCACATTTCATTAGAAGACTTCTGGAAATTCCAGGCTGGGCGCTGTGGCTCAAGCTTGTAATCCCAGCACTTTGGGAGGCCGAGGTTGGGGGATCACAAGGCCAGGAGATCGAGACCATCCTGGCTAACATGGTGAAAACCCATCTCTACTAAAAATACAAAAAATTAGCCAGGTGTGGTGGCACACACCTGTAGTCCCAGCTACTCGGGAGGCTGAGGCAGGAGAATCGCTTGAACCCGGGAGGCAGAGGTTGCAGTGAGCTGAGATCACACCACTGCACTCCAGTGTAGGTGACAGAGCAAGACTCTGTCTCAAAATAAAATAAAAGACTTCTGTAAATTCCACAGGAATGTGTCACATGGGCCACATAACTGAAAAGGAGGCTGAAAAAATGTGATCTGTTATCTGGGTGCATTGCCAGCCCAAATAAAATTGGGCCAGGCGAGATGGCTCACGCCTGTAATCTCAGCACTTTGGGAGGCTGAGGCTGGTGGATCACCTGAGGTCAGGAATTTGAGACCAACCTGGCCAACATGGCGAAACCCCGTCTCTACTAAAAATACAAAAATTAGCCAGGCATGGTGGTGCGTGCCTGTAATCCCAGCTACTTGGGAGGCTGAGGCAGGAGAATTGCCTCCACCTGGGAGGTGGAGGCTGCAGTGAGATAGCGCCATTGCACTCCAGCCTGGGCAACAGAGCGAGACTCTGCCTCAAAAAAAAAAAAAAAAAAAAATGGGCGGAGGGTTCTGTTACAAAGAAGAAAGGAGTGAATAGAGGGAGTGATACAGTAGTCTCTGCACACCGCTGACAGCACAGGCTTTACTTTTCCAAGTCCATACAAGTGGAAAAGAGTGGAGCCTCATTTGCTCTAGCCAGAGTGCTCAGTGCAGTTACTTTGCCTCTCTCTAAAGCCCCATTGAATCATTGAATAAATAGGGAAAACAATAGTGACTCCCTGCAAGGGAAGCCGTAGCAACACACCAGGGAATGCGTGCACCCTGCTCCGCAGGTGTCTGGCACACTCTAATGTCCCCGGTATCAGGTAGCTACACTGAACACTTGGAAATGGGGTCCTCTTCCAACACATTTTAAGCACTTAGGGTATGCTAAGCACTTAAGCTAGAGAAAATGAACAAAACAGAGATCCGGTCTTAAGCCTACGTCTGGCTGAGGAGATGAACATGTGACAATAACGCATGACTTGCTACGTGCACGATATTGTCAGTGTCCTAGGCAGGGACACCGTAAATGGCTTTTGGTGGAGTGGGCAGGGTAGGAGGAGGTTTTGCTGTAGGATGAGAAGTTAGGCAGGAGG